TAAGTCTATTAATTCAAATTCAATTAATTTGAAAAGAATTTTTACCAATATTGTTCTCTTTACAGTAATGCAGGAAATTAAGTTTTATCTGGGAAATGCCTTGACCCATCCAACACTGGCCAGTTATTTTTTCCATTTTCTAGTTGTAACATACGCATTAGATCACCTGCTAGGATCCTACTCAACTGATACGTTTCTTCTTTGACAGCCAGGCTCAACAAGTCCATGGACATGTTAGTCAAGACAAATTCTGGTGTACTGCAAGAGGCCCAGAGCAGAGGGCCCGATGAGTTGGTCCTAAGCCTTGGTTTCCCCATATTTACGTTGACAGCATTTCTCAAATCAGATCTCAGGCCGCATGCAACCTGCATTCCTCCTGATGCACGTTATGGTGTTAAGATGTCTGCAGGACAGAGAATGGAAAGGGTCTGAGATGGTAAGAGATGCTCATTCCAGGGCAAAACATTTCCCAGGACAATATTCTTTCAGGGTGCGGTTCTGGAATTTTTGCGATGATTCTGTAGAATATGTTAATGTAGCAAGCAGAGAAACCACCTGGCCAGTTTTCAAGTGAATCAAGAGCTGAATCACCAGGCGTCTACTGACTGTTACCCCATGTTAAGGCTAGGCTGGAACTCGGAGTCTCATGAGACCTTGGAAGAGAAGGCTGATCGGCTTCTTCCCTTCCCCCATCCCTGCTACTAAGTCAAAGTCCTCTGGTTTGGGGGAGGAAGGTGACCTGGGGAGGAGAGGACCAGAGTGGGTCACTGGTTGGGCCTCAGAGAAGGGGCCCTACTCTTCAGCCCCTTGGACTTGGGTTCTGCAAATCAGAAGGGACTGGTGCCCTGTTTCCTGCTTGGAACCCTGAAAGGGAAGCTCCCAAGGTGCCCTCTCCATCACAGTAGCCATAGAAAAGGCTCTAAGGTCATTGGGCCTGAGGCATTCCTTCCAGAACAAGCTGTCCCAGGTATATCCCACAAGGGTGTTAAGGACAGTCCCTAAAAAGCTGAGCAAGCTGACTGAGCTTGGCCTGGAACTTCTGTTGTCTACCAATACCTACCAGTTGACCTGATTTAGAATTGGCCAGAATAGTTTCTATTTGTTAAGCTACTGAGTCATCCAGGTTTCCTTTGCTTTCTTTTTTGACAAATAAATAGGTACAGTTTAGGAGGCTAGCCCCTTAAAAGGTTGCTTAGGATAAGGTAGGGGTTCTGGAATTTTCTTTGGACTCATCTTACTCTTATTGACCTGAAAGGACCGGGAAGTAGCCTCCTATCAGTTGTTCCCTGTTTATACCACCCAACTCTCCCACCAACTCTCAAGAGCATATCTCTATAGTCCTAGCATCTTGCACAATGCCTGGCAAAGAAAATGTAAACAAGAAATATTTATAGAATGAAAACGTTAAATTCTCCAGGGATTGTCTGCACACTTAGGGCTAATCCTGCTGACATGGCTGCTATAGTCAAGGAGGCTCTCAAGGTAGCTCAGCATAGTCGTTAAGTGAGTAGATCTTACAAACTCCTGGGTTCAGATCCTGTCCCTGCCACTTACTGCACTGTATCTGTGGTCAGCTTACTTCACTGTCTCCCCCTCTGAAAACTGGGGACACCTCATAAGGTTGATAAGAGAATTACATGAGTAAATATTTAAAACCACTAGAATGGGGGTCACAAATTGGAGAGCTATTTGTCTTCATAAGTAAATAGTTTCCCTAGTTCTACTGACATTTACAATGACAGCAAACGGATGGATACCTAGAATAACCTACCATGGTTCTACAGTGTTTTAATTTGTTAAGACAACTTTTCCAAGTTAGTTTTATAACTTTTAAAAATTCTCATGTCACTCCTATACTGGAAGGAAAATATTATTGCCCCCATTTTAGGGAAGGAAAGACATCCCTGACATCCCTTGCAAATTTTACTTTTCAGTCCTCTCCACCTCAATTTGCATCAGCAATAAGGGCTACGGAGGCACAGCAGATAGACGCAGCAGCACTGGCTGGAAACAAGGAACTACTATGTCTGCGTGGTGCTCTTGACTCTATTATGTTCTGATTAAAATTGGAGATATAAATATTAAGGTTTTGAGCAGAATCTTCAGTTAGTTTTATAACTTTAAAAGCTTTGGAAAACTTGAAGGCCTAGAAAGAAAAAGTATAAATGAACAATAGGATCTGGAAACATTGTCGTAAACTCACTTAGAAGACTGTTAGATGGCATTAGACATGGATATATTACAGACTAGGTTTTGTCTCCTTCCTGCATCTCCCTTGCCGCCACCTCCTGGGCCTCCAAGCCTGGATCACCTCTGCCATCTCCCACCACGGCTTCCTCTGTTCTCCGTGCTTACCTGGTTGCTTCTGCTCTGGCCAGTTATTTTCAGCTACTGAGAAGGATCCCTGTATATGCCGCCTACTGGTACTGAGATAAGTCCTTAGTCACAGAACTGGAAATACATCTTTAGAGTAGGAGCAAAAGTGAGACGCAAGTTTAAAGTCCAAACCTGAGTTGAGAGAAGAGATAGCAGGAAAGCTGTTGGCCAAGGCTTTCCTCTCATTTGGTTCATGGGTAAGACGGAGGACAATTAAAGAGACACCCC